GGGGGGGGCGCCTACTACTAGTACTGCTACTACTACTTCTGCTACTACTGCTACTTGTTGCTTCTTTCCTCGTCTCCCTCCTCCCCTCCTCCTCCTCCTTGCTAGCTGCGGTGGTCCTCATGTGTCTTTTAGATTGTGAGCTGCTTGCCACCTTTCTGAGTGCCTGGTTTTCCCCTGCCCGCTCGCGTAATATCTTTTCTTCACGGTTTCTGGTCAGCTTTATTCTACCTTGTGTTTGGAGTCGTACCTTTTCTTTACCTTTTTTATGTACCATTCTTTTGCCCTATTTTTAACCTTTTTAAGTATTCTATGTACCCGATCATAAGCCTAGCGATAACGTTAACGACAAGATTGCGGATCCGAAATGGGCTTTTGCAAGCACCTGCCTATTTTGTGTCTTGCAGCCTACTAGCTAGACGTGGGAGCTACATGCAAAATAGAAGCTGGACATGCACGGATCCTTGGTGTCGAAGACAAGACTCAAACTTGAGAGCCCCTGGCTACTGCGTCCAAGATGTTTTCTGGCAAGCTGGGTACCTATTTACATCATTGGGTTTCATGTTCGGGGCTCCTCCTCAAATGTTATGCAAAATATCTCCAGCATCGCAGCAAATATGTGGCTGCATTGCTCGAGCTCTAAAGGCGCATGGCTGTGGCACAATGGGTGGCCCCGCTGTTGTTTGAATTCAGGCAACTCGCCGTTCACACTTTAAATGGAGGTTTGCCCTCTTCTGAGGTGAACGGGCGGACAGCTACGTAGCTTCCCCCATCAGCAAAAATGCTTGAGTGGTTTGTCTTTTTGCCGAGTTTTGGCAAGTGCAACAAAGTAGCATAACCAATCCTTCACGTGGAGCAGTAATCATTAACCAGCAACTCCCCAAGCTTGTATCACTAACCAATGCCTTGCACCCTGAGCCTTCCAAATTCACCCGTCCATGTTGAATCCTAAGCCAACCCAAGCACTCAACCCACACCTTAGCCTCGACCCGAGTCATCCCGATCCTGTTGCCCTGGTCCTGCGTTATGCGGGTTTCCCGAAACTGGGCATGCCTAAGAAGCCAAAGTATCTAAACGTAGGGACCATACGCGGAGCATAAATTAAGCACAAAGATCCCCTTGAAAGATTGTATGTGGATTTCTTTATACAGCTTTGGACCGAAATCTTGATTCAGAGATCCCAAGAGGAGCCCTGCACGCTAAATCCAAATAGGCGAACGCAGCAAACAAGATCTTGGGAACAACGCAAAATTGTGGCGAATGTCTGCAACAATACTCCCCTTGTCAAGGCCGATGCTGATTTGGATAGTGCGGCATTTTGGCGCAGGCCATGATGCATGATGGTGTAAGCAAGCAGTTTGCAGATGAGGGTGTGTGACTTGGACAGTTCAGGATTCTACCTGTACTTGTGGGCGGCCGTGCAGGTCTTGATGACATGACCTTAGAAGCATTTCAAACACGGGCGCCATGTGGCAGCTAGCAGTGCCTGAGGCTGGTCTTCATGTGGCTTTATCCAAATGTCATTCAGCCGCTTTTCAACGAGTTCAGGCCGTTGCAGGACAGGCTCCTCTTTTCAAACACTCGTGGTGAGAAGGAGATGTTCGATTCTCAACAACAGGACGAGTCGCTCAAGCAGAAAATCGAAGATTTGGCTGCCGAGGCCAAGACGTAAGCCCAACCGTATCCGCTTGCTCCGTAGGTTTGGTAGCCAAGTTCTTGAGATCCGATAGGTCCGATAGGTTGGTTAAGGACGCGCATGTTGGATCGGAGTAACGGGGAGCCAGCCGTGAATGACTGCTGCCTGCCACTTTTTTATCAGGTGAAGTTTCCCTTGACAAAGCTCTTCGAAGTTGATGGCTCCAAGCGGTAAGCTGCCTTGTTCTGACGCGGGTATGATGAGTGTTTGGTCAACTGTTCTTGACAGGTCTGGTCACAGCAACGCATATTTCTTTGGCTTTTGGAAGTATCCTGCCTCAGCGAAAAGACTTGGATAGGTGAGCCATTCAACCTGCAGCGGCTCGAGGTACAAGCGAATTGTTCTTTACGACACTTTGTGCCAGCCTCACTCTGCAGTTGTCGCTCCCAGTCCTCACAACGGATGAATCGCAGGTTACACCTCAAACACGATGACATCTTGGCCATACTCTGCCATGAGCTAGGCGCGCATCTTCTTTGTTTCTTGAACATGTGAAAACAGTTCATGTTCGATAGGACACTGGAAGTTTGGTCACACGCTCACGAATCTGGTCATCGCATCAGTCCCTCCCTTGTTTGAATCATCTTGTCTGGTGTCATGTGCAGAGCTCTGCAGGGCGGACAGTTAGTCCTTTCAGGGTGCAGATTTTGCTGTAATTCAGAAGCCCCTTTAGCTCTGTTTCAACGCCTTGCAAAGTTGCCCAGTGTTTGGCAGAAGCCTCTGCAGCTGCAATTGGTTTAGCTTTCCGGCACTGACCTGCAGAGGGGAGGAGATGCGCCAGCTGGCTTCCTCAGATACTCATAAGCAGAGCTGTAGTGCTTGAGGTGCACATTTTCGTTCTGTTCTGGCTCTTTGATTTGGTCATGTATTCAGAGGCACGGGTCGACATGATTTTATAGTCTGGCATGGTCGACATGTTCTGATTTCTGCATAGGTGTCCAAGCAGATGACATCTCAGTTTGGGTTTGGTGAAGCTGATGCCGTGATGGTTCGCATCTCAAGCCATGAGTACCAAGTATAGGTAACCTGAGATGGAAATTTGTGTCGGTGGAGAAAAGAGGTATCGCTGATGCTCTTCATGCTGTGCAGCTGACCTGCGGTTTTTCCCGAAAGAGTCCGAAATCCCTTTCACAGTCTTGCATGGCAGGCTGGTCAGCCCAACTGAGCAGCTGATGAACTTGCTCATGACTATGCTCAGAGCTTGGCTCTTTGAAGTGGCCTCTCGTTTCAACTGCCTCTCGACTTGCAACAGGCGAAGTCGCTACAATGAGTTCCAGGAACGCTGCAGTGTTTGGTTGCGATGCGTTTGGTCATTGAAAGCTCCCAAGCCTTCTTTGAAGCCTTCCAGGCAGACAGTTTTGCTGCCAAAATGGGCAGATCGGATGCGTTACAGTGCAGCCCTCAAGGAAGGCACATAATGTGCAGCTGTAGTTTCATTGTTCATGTACCTCGAGTTTCCTAAGGAGTGGCTTATTTCAGATCCACGAGGAGAACAAGGCAGCCTGATTTCGGTTGGGAATAGCTTTCTCTTTGACTGGCCAGGGAGACCTGAACCCTGATCCACTCTATTCTTGGTACCACTTCTCGCACCCGCCGCTGGCCGGATCTCTCAGACTCAGACCTGTCTAATCGTTCCATGTCTGCACGCTGCACGCGGTTCGTTTCGAGGTGGAACGCCTTCGAGCCTTGAAACTCCTGGATGCTGGAGACACCAGCAAGAAGACGAAATGATCAAATCATGGCGAGAAATAGGAGCAGCTGCCCTGCGCATGACATTTTGTAAGCCGGCCTTTGACTTTCGCCCCTGTCTCGGAGACGTGGTCAGATTCTGAAGCCTTTTACTCGAAAGAAAAACCGGCGAAGCCTTGCAATCGGATTATTGAATACCATTTTGCATTGGCCGGAGCCCGTTTTGGCCTATGAGCATGGTGGGCCTCGTCAGGCTTACATCTCTGCGTCCAGCAAATGATGTGTCTGATATGTTAGGCAACATACGTTCATTCGACTGTTTGCGTCTTTGCGTAGAGTCAGAGATCTTCCGATGGAGGTGGAGTTTCGAATGTGCCACAAATCTTCAGTCTTAGCAAACTTTGCGCTGCTGGAATATTTCAACAGCGGTGTCGTTTAATTCTTTTCAAGTATTGGCTCTCAGGGCCAGCATGTGGCTCGCTCAGACGGGACGGCATGCTGCGTATGCTGCTTCGAGAACAACTTGCAATTACATGGGTGCTTGTGTGCACAGGCCGCTGCGCGATGAGAGCTTAAGTGAAAGCATAGACATGCAGGAACTTTGCCATGTCAGGTTGCTAGTGCTATGCTGGGATAGGCTTGAGATTTCCAAAAAAGCATCAAAGTCGTGGGCCTGCAGGCGTGTTTGTAGTGTTAACGTTTTGATGTTCGCTGCCTGTTTTCCCATATTTGTAGCGGGCGACAGAGTTTCCAGCCACAATTTGGAATGGAGTTACCAGAGCCTCGGAGTGGAAACTAGTCAGTCTGTCGGTCTTACGGTCTGTCGGTCTATGAGTCTGTCAGTCAATCTGTCACTTTATCGGTGTGAGCCTTTGTCTTCTGTCGAATCTGTCGGTCTGTCGTTCTGTCGATAAAACGTTCTCTGGAGTTTCTCTGTCAGTCGATTTTCAGTCTATCACTCTATCCGTGAAGCGGTCTGAAAATGTCTGAAAAAGAAGGTCCGTCGATCTGTCAGCCGATCATTCTTTCAATCCAGCAGTCTATTGGCAAGACCGCCGGTGTGTCGATGTGTCCGTATATTGGGTTGTCAATATGGAGATCTCATGATTTCTCGAATTGGCCAGTCTATCCGGCTGCCACTTTGTCTGTCTGTGCATCAGTTTATCGATTATCGATTTGATGATCTATCCGTCGCCGATTTGTCGGTCTCATGTTTGCGGTTTGGTTGTTGATATGTGCATTTTCTCGGTCATTCGGTCTAGTGATGCATCGGTCTGTCAGATCTAGCGATTTGTCATTCTTTGATGTCGTATTCGCATGTATTCGCTGTTTGTCGGGTTTGTTAGCTGGTCGGCTTCTTAATCAGTCCTCTTGTGCTGCTGAAAGAGCGGGTCAACTCTAGTACCTCCATGAAAGCCAAAACTTTGTTTTGGTCCTGGAGCCTGGGCCCCCGATGATCCTCGTTCTCTTCCCGCGTTCTTGGCCGCTTGCGGGGCTTAAAGCGATTAATCTCGAACATTCCGGGAATTTTTGAGATTTTCATCCAATATCTGTTTGTGGGAATTCGAAGGAGATCGACAGGCTAAGGAATCTCCTTTCAACCCTCGGCCCTTCAACAGCCGTTGCAACAGGTTGGAAGCCGTGGGTTCGGGCGACGTTGCCAAGGCTAATTATCTTAAGGGGGTTGGGAAGATCTGAGACCTGCTCGGCTAGTTCAGAATTGGGCGCAGATAATTCATCTTCGTCCCGCCTGCAAAAGGCTTATTTTCCCCTAAAAAGGAATATTTGCGCAATTCCGCGGTCCAGGCCACTTTCACACTCTGCAGGCCGAGTTTGTGGCGTACCCTCGGCAAGTGATACTCCTTCTGAAGGTCGGCGTGTCCCTGCGCCTAATCAGGGGATCTTTCTGATCGGTATACTGGCCCGGTCTGTGCACCTTAAAGGAGCGTTCATGTGGTCCTTATTTGCTTCAATTTGGATATAAGGCCTTCTGCGCACGGAAATCCGGCGCCAAATAAGAACATCAAGCAAGAAATAATCTGCGCTGTGCCAAGGGGATGTCCCCTTAAACCTGGGGCGAGGTTCACCGTTGGCAGCAGTCTCCTCCTGTATCTGATGGGGAGCCTCTTAGCGAGTTTTTGCTAACCGGGGCTCAGCCCACGCGAACTGACGCTGCAGTGTCCGTTGACCCTATAAGGCAGCTTTTTTGGGCAACCTTTTCACTAGCTGGAATCATTTTGGGGTGGCCGATTCCACAAGTTAGGGGCGTCGAGCCCTGCGCCATCATGGGCTGGTCGTGGGCCCCGCGCCAAAGTTACAAGTGGAGGGGCGGCATATCCCTGTGCTAAACCAGAGGTTCTTTCTGATTTGTGGTTTAGGCTTCCTTGGGATGGTTTTGGTGGTATTCAAAAGGGGGTTTGGGATGCGAGAGTTGGGTCTCCACAGGAATCCGGTCCATAATAGCAAGGGCTGCGTGCACTCTCACTACATTTGGGTTACCGCAATATGGTTTAGTACAACAAACTCCTTGCAGCTACCAGTGCCCAACAATCATGCACAATGCCTGATCCTGTGGAGGATGAGCTAGGGCCGAATGGAGGAGGAGCCAGCCTGGGGGAGGCTCTGACCAAACATCCTTTCTATATTCCCTTTCGTCCTCGCTGCTAACTAGTCTGCGCCCCAATAGAATAAGATTTTCACATTAATCCTTGTAGTGGGATCAAAAAGGTCTCCGCAAGGTAAAGACTGAGACTGAAGCTAACCCTGGGGAGCACATCGCCCGGCAGGCAAGGAGACGTTGGGAAATCGCCTAAGTCCCTGCCTGCGCAATAGGAGTAGGGCGAAGAAAGGATAAGACCCTTAACCTTAAACCCTAAACCCATAAGCCTATCCCAAACAGGGTGGAAGATAGGCAAAACTAATAAGGAGATTCGTTCATAAGCCCTTCAGAGAATTCGGATCGCTTCCTATCAAACTTCTATGAATTAACATATTCCCCCTTCCATTGAGCCTGGCTCTTATGGCGCAGCGCCTAAGCATTTTCTATTATCTGGGAGAGAAAACAATTTTCTTTTCCTCTTCAAATATACCTCAATGTTGCGGCGCGGTCACTTACGGTCATTTCGCTCGCGCACGGCCTAGGTTTTCCGGCTCACTTTTAAAATGCCTTCTGCGGGCTCCCTAGGGGCTCTAAAATCTCGGAGATTTCAGAGCCTTTCGAAAAAACTAGAGGTTCAAAAATCTCTGAGATTTTTGGCGCGGATGGCGCGCCCAAAAATCTCGGAGATTTTTGGTCGCGGCCCTGGCTCGAAACACATAGATCCTAGATGGAAATTCAGAATTTCTCAATATATTATATAATTGGCCATATCTGCTAACGGAGATTTTTATACTTTCCCGACTACCGCACAACACGGAAAGACCGGATTGGATACAGGGGCCTCCAACAATTCTAAATATTAAATATCACTAGAATATTCTATTTCTCTATAATACACCCTTTTTGGTCATTTTTTATTTCTGAGAGATATACCTATATTTCTTCTTTTCCTCATATATGACTCATGATAAAATATAAATCGAATCTTTATAATTTGACTTGAAAATCTATTTCATAAAACGCTACGGCTACTTACAAGATACTTTGCCTTATTAATCTCTAGAAACTATTTGGCTAAGCCCGAGCCTAAAATAGCAAACTAGAAATCGTGAAACCATATTCTCAAAATCTTTAGTCCGAATATTAATCAAAAATTCTCGAAATTATATTCTTAAATCTCCACTATACTCATATACTAAATATTGACTCATAAAGATAAGTTGGCTCTAATGAAATTTAATATTCTATTACAATAATATTCAATTATATTCATATCATTCGTGCTTCTAAATAGTCGTTTAGTTCTTTTTCAATAATGCTATACTTCTTGCTTTCTCGTACCTAAAGTATTCAAATAATTCTAAGAATATCGTTTTCATAATTTCTCTGTATTTATCTGTCGGAATTTATGATAATTTGATTAAATCCATTTCATATTAATAGTGTGATAATAAGAAATTTAGAAACCTGAAGGGATATTCAAAAATTCCTCCAGTTGGTCCTACTAAAAAAGTGAGCATTTCTTTTTTTCAATAGATGTCGTGATTTTTTGATTATATTTTTATAATCTCTTATGATTAAGGTTGGTTCGTCAATTTCGTCAGAATGAAATTATATTAATAGGTATATTATTATTTTTCTCGCCCTAAAATACTCTTTATTCTCTCTATATTCTTTTTCATAATTTTGATTTAATTCAATATATATTTTGCATACTTGATACTTTTCAGATTCCCCGAATATATCATAAATATCCGCTGGAAATTTATACGTTAATACCTTGGATTGTCCTTGATTTCCTCGCCCTTCCAACAATATGTCAATTTGAACATTTTCTCCTATCGTATATATGTATTATATCTTTAAGCTGTTTTGTGTTACGTTCTCTCGTGGTTTGGGGCAAGCTCCTTATAATGAAGTTCAATATTCTAGAATAATCATAATAAACTATATTATCAAAACCATGATTTCTTGATATTCTAAAGCTTGGAATAAAATATTTCCATATATTTGTATTGTTATAATACATTTAGAATAATGCTTTTGATATTTCATAACAACTGTCCAATAATGCTTTATTATTTTCTTCTCGAAGGTGATATCTTTCAAAATCATATCTGGCAATGGATATATATAATCCTTTATAAAATTCTTTGATTAATTTATGAAATTTCTTATTGAATATAATATCACGTATATAATATGGGCGAGTTGTTGTTTCTTTATTATATTTGATATAATTTACTTTTATAAAAGAATATTTGAGAAAAGGATATATTTAAATCGAATCTCCATTGCCCTCCAGCGCT